AATGAGAGAGAGCATGAGAAGGAGGAAGGTCAGAGGGAGAAGCAGACTCCCTGCCGAGCAGGGAGCCCGATGCGGGACTCGATCCCGGGACTCCAGGACCATGACCTGAGCCGAAGGCAGCCGCCCAACCGACTGAGCCACCCAGGCGCCCCAGTCTTATATTTTAAAGCAGTGATTTGGCGCAGATGCTGCTATATCCTCCCAAGCAAATATGTTTCCAGTGAAAACTGCAAGTGTCTCCTCAGGCTGCGTTATAATCTATTAAATAACAAAGTAGAATAAAATACTTCAATGTTTTGGTTACACAAACGCCCACTCGTCCCACAGCGGAGCTGCAGGGCGGCTCCTGAGGCAGCCGTCGGTTTTCCCCGTGGGCGAGGGGGCGCCTGGCCAACGGAAGCCCACAAAGGTGCGGACTGAAAGCAGCCCTCCCTCTGAGCCCCGACTCCCTTCTGATCTGACCCCGTTTGAGAGAATCGGGGGGGGGCTGGGCCTCCAGACACCAGCCAGGCAGAAGCAGGGGAGGGGCAGGGAAGGGGCCAGGATGGGGCCAGCCGGGCCGGTGCATGCTCTGCACCTGCTGGGCTGGCCGCTCGCCCAGAGCCCGCCTGGGGCCGGAGGGCGGACGGCCTTCTCTGCGCCGGGGCTGGCAATCTACGCACGGCCTCCCCGGGTCCGCTTCCTCTGCCGCCGCCGCCGGGGCTGGGTGCCCTCGCCGGGGGGCCCGGGCACACCGCCACGGAGCCCGGCCCCCCTCTGGAGCAGCCGCACCATCTCATGGTCCTTGTGGTCCAGCACGCGGGGCAGGAACAAGGAGGACTTCTGGGTGCGGCGCGTCTTGAAGCCCCTGCGGGGCCGGCCCTTGCCGTTCACGGACACATACCACAGTCTCTCGGCGCTGGGCTGACGCTGCGCCCCCGGGCCGCTGGGCATCGTGCGGTACAGCCGTGAGGCATACGTGTTGTAGCCCAGCTCGTGGATCCGCTCCACGAACTCACACTCGGCGTTGTAGCTCTCCTGCGGGGGGCAGAAGGCCTCGGTCAGCCGCTGAGGAGGCCACGGAGGCCCCCACGGAGGCTGGGGATCAGGGTCTTGGGGACCGACTGTCCCTTTGCCAGGTCTCCGTCTCCTCCTCCCTCCTGCCCGGTCCAGCACTTATCCGACCCATGACACCCATGCCTAGGCTGTGCCCGTCCTCCCTCTGAGTCTGGTGGACTTGGCCTTTGGGGTTCAGCTCCTCTGCCAAGGTTTCCTGAGCCCCTGGGGAGAGTGCTCCCCCAGCTCCGTCCCCCTGGCACTGACTGGGGAGGTGGGGTGTCCTGGCTCAGGGACGCGTGGCTCTCTCAGCAGAGCAGAGACGGGGCCTGTCCTTGATCTCTGCTGGCGGCAGGGACATCGGCAGGACATCTGGACACAGGAGGAGGATGGTGCCCCAGACTGCTCTCGGAAAATGTGCACGAAAGAGAGAAGAAATGGACACTGGGATTTGGCTGGGTTTTCATGAGCCTGGCTTCTCCATTACACTTGAGTTTAGGTCCTGGCTCTGGGCCTTGAACTCGGAGAGGGGCTGTTTTGGCCTCGTGGTCCTTGCCCCAGGCACATGGAGCAAAAACCAGGAGCCCAGCCCCAAGCCTGTGCTCAGCAAGGGCACAGACACTGGTGTTGTCAGGGCGGCTCAGGGGTGGGGGTGCCCGCACAAGTGGGGTGTGGAGGAGACCGCTTCAGAGGCAGAGACAAACAGGGACCCGTGTGCTTCTGGGACAGGCTGGGAGGCGTGGGCTGGGCCTGGGTCTCTGCCTTCTCAGAGACAGGCATCCAGACGGAGAGAGGCAGACTCGTAACTCAAGGGGCTTTCACCACCATCCCTTGGGCCACCTTGTGGAGTGCCTCCAGGTCGGGGGGGGCGGTGAGTCTGACTTACACCAACCCAGGTGAGGCTTCGGTCTGAGCTGTAGGCAGGTGGGCATGCCAAGCACCCCCGGGGCTTCCCTCCTCACCCCATGCCAGGGGGCAGGGCTGGGGGGCAGGGGGAGGTGGGCAGAAGGAGCCCAAGACCCTCATGTCTCCATCTGCGGAGGGGAAAGGGGGCTGCTACTGAGGGGGCCCCGGGCCCATTCTCAGGGGGGCACAGGCTGGTTGGGGCCTGATCCACGGAAGGGACAGCATGAGACCTGGAAGGGCCACAGGATGCACAATGGTCAAGCACCAAATACCTCCTCCTTGATGACGTCCAAGTCCAGAGGGAAGGGTGGGGGCTCCCGTTCAACTGAAAGAGGGAGCTGCCTCTCCCCATAACCTCACCCTCTCTCTGCTGTCCCACCCCTCGGGGGGTGCCCAGAATGCCTGACAAAGACCAGGCCTGGGGTGGTGGCAGACCCCAAATTCCAGAGGGTTATGATGCTGTTCTGGTCTGTGCCCAAGGCCTCATATGTAGTGTGGGGATCAAGGGCCATCTGGGGGTGAGCGGCTGGGCTCAGGGCAGACCGCCATGTCAGGCGGCTACGTTGGTGTCTGGTCCCCACACTCAACCATCAGGAGCTCAGGGACAGAGCAGGCTCTTCTCCCCAGCCTCTCTGTCCCATGGCTGAGGCCCAGGAACCAGGAAGCCAAGGGTTTTCTTGCTGTGGGACAACTGAAGGGACCCAGTCTTGCGAGCCTCCAAGAGTGAAGAGCGCAGGCCCTCCAGAAGGGGGTCCTGGGGCAGGTAGAGCTTGCACCTTTAGGGGCTCCTAGAGAGGTCAGGATGACCAAGAGGAGGGTATCGGCTCAGGGCCAGGGTCACAGACGCCAGGGGACCCCAGGTGAGACGGTGGCAAGAGTTCCCAGTGCCTCTCTGGGTCCTGCTGTCCCACCCAGACCCTGTGCTCTACAGGGCCTTCCCCCCAGTCACTCCCACCCACCAGTGCCACCTGCCGAAACTCTACTTGTCACTGCCCGACCTCAACCTTGGGGAGCCTGCATTTCCTTCTCAGGCTCTACCAGCATTGGAGCCGCTCCAGAAAAGCCGGCCCGGGGTGGTGTGGAGGTGGCTGGCAAGGCTGCCCTCCCCAGTTGGTTCTGAGCCCCAGGGGACCAGGCAGGGGTGCACAGGGAGGGCGGGAAGGTGGCTGGCTGCAGGCAGCATGGTGAACATGTCCAAGGTGTGAGGAGGAAGCCGGCTGACAGGTACCTTCCCGATGAGGTGACATTTAGGAGAGAGTCATTAGGGAGAGGTGGGCTTTTCTGATGGGGGCATTCCAGTCTGGAGAACCCAGCAAGGTTCCAGAGGCTGCGGTGGGAATGATGGTGGAAAGTCGGAGCAGAAGGCGGTCTGGGCAGCTCCCCTGGGGGCCAAGGCACCTGGGGGATAACTTGTGGGGGATGGGGAGCTCCACGACACTGGAGGCCACAACAGCAGTGGATTCACAGTTGAGTGAGATCCTGAAGCAAACACCTAGCGGAGAGTGTGACCTACGGTAAATGCCCATGGCACCGGTGAATGAAGGAATAAATGCCTGATGGATGGATGGATGGAAGGAAGGAAGGAAGGAAGGAAGCCATTGTTGCAGCTTCTCAGCGACAGCAGACACAGGTAGACTCTGACCCACTGGGATCCCCCAGGTCATGTTTTGTTTTGTAACCCAAAGCCCTGGGCCTGCCCCCACCCGCCCTGGGAGAGGTGTCAAAGTCCTTAGACTTCCCCTTCTGATTCAGCCGTCCCTGCCCAATCTATGAACTTCCTCGGTGTGGATGGAGGGCCCTCCGGGACCAGCAAGACCTGCATCATCACTGCCAAGAACAAGAACTCCTCACCGGGGCCCCTCTGCATAAGGAACAGGGGTGTCTGTAGGTGGTCTAAGGTCATTTGAGGAACAGAAAGTCCATTCTGCCCACTGGGCACCAGGGGCCCAGGGCTGAGGCTTTTGGAAACCACAGTCCACCTCAAGAAAAAGTCAGACCAGCCCTGGGCCTGAGAGTATGTCCTTATAAGCCACGACTGGTGTCTGCAGACTGGGAACACCTGCAGGAAACGCTGGAAACCAGAGGGTCCCTGGCTTCTATTAAGCAACCCCTGGGTCAGAGAAAACAAATGGGCTCATTCCAACTCTTGCATTTCCTTTAGCAGAATAGCAAAAAAAAACCCCAATAACAACAACAAAAAAACCCCCAAAAAACAACAACAAAAAAAACCTATGATAAAATAAGCAGCTTAAAGGAGTGTTTTCCTGCAACTCTTCCCTGATCACACTTTGCCCAAGACAGGCAGGGAGAGGCTGGTGTGTGGCCCCTGCAAACAGGCTCAATGGAGAGACGGGGCTGCAGGGAGAAGGTCCTCGGATTGTGTTGTCTAGGTTCCCTGCGGATGGAAAACCTCTCATTGCCCAAGGGGGTATCAGCCGAATTGCACGTAATGACTAGTTGGAGGTAGCAAATTTCCTGGTTACATGCATTTTACTCCATGCATCCCCGCCCCGGCCCTTGGGGGAAGGACATTGCCAATGCCCACGGAGTCACAGGACCCTTTTTCTGTTGTGGGGGCCCCAGGCGGTATACAGTCTGGGTTCCAAATCTGTGTGCCTGGGACACGGGTCCTGTGTCCCTTCCTCTAGGTTGGGCCCTAAGAACTAACAGCTCTTGCCTTTCCACCCTGGGGAGAACTGGATGTGCCATGCCCTGCTTCCCCGCCCCCCAACCCCTCCAGGAGTGCTCTGCTTGAGCCCACAGAAAAGCTTTGCCCAATACACAGTCACGCTGTGCCCCAAGGCTCACCAGGTCCATTTATATCGGTGGAAACTTGGGGGTAATCTCTGCCTTGCTCTCAGCGACCTTGAGGGAAGGGCAGTAGTAGGGAACAGAAAAGGTCTGGAGGAGCATTTTCTAACCCAAGGGCACTGGAGAACTTAAGACAAGTCTCACCCCCAGTGGGGTCCTCCCCGTGGGCCATGCTCCAAGCCAGCCAACCTGGCAGCCGCCTCCTACAGAAGCAGCTGGAACAGCACTGGGTGTCAAGACCCAGGGCCTGAGATTCTGGTCCCAGCTGGAGTCCTGCAGGTCCCCATGCTGCTGGACAAAGCATTTTGCTGCCCACGTCCCCTCTGTCCCCTGATGAGATGTCCAAGGGAGATGGCTGCCCCACGCACGAGTGCCCACGGGAGAGGTCGGACTCACCGAAGCATAGAGCCGCCCCCTCTTGTTCATGGCCAGGTACCGCCCCGAGAAGAGCCCCTTGATGGCCACGATGCCCACCTCCACCGCTGTCATCTCCAGGATACCTGGGAAGAGTCGTGAAGGCTCATCACTCCCCGCACCTCCCACACAGCCCAGTGCCGGGGGCTGAGGGCCCAGGCTGGGCGAGGTGAGGGCGGTGGGGGGGGAGATGACCTGGGAAGTTCAGGGGAAGGAGAAGTCACTGGATGGAAGGTGAAGCAAGGGGAGCATCAGGGAAGGCTGCTCCAAGGAGAAGAATTCAAATACAACTGCCATCTCTACGTGCTGAGTGCCAGGTGCTAAGGTCCTGCAGGATGTCAGTTTCGTGATCTGACAGACCAGTGAGCTGAGACTGCTGAGGTTAGGTGACTTTCCCAAGACCACACATATGTGTGTGAGCTGGAATTCAAACCTGGGCTGCAGACACCAGTGTTCGAACTCTCCAATGGCACAGCCCCTGCTAAAGGGTCTGAGGAGTCTGGGGCAGGGGCGAAGCTGGGGCCCTTGATGAAGCCAGTGGATAATATAATCCACGCAGTGCATTGAGGGGGCCACCCAAACTCACTGGCAATGGACCCGGGCAGGAGATAATTGTCCAGGGCAGGGTCCAAGTGGGATACAGGCTCTTAGCAAGAAGCGGGGTTAGACGCTGGAGCTCACCGAGGGAAGCTGCCCTGGGCTCTCCCACTCCCCACTGCATGTAAGGAAGTTTCAACCTTCCCTAGCCTTCCTTCTGGATGCAGGAGTGCTTTTTCACCAGAGGTCCTGCAACAAAGGCCCGAGTGGGGCCATTGTGCCCCGCCCAGAAGGGCTCCAAGGGGCGCTGGAGCGACAGCGATGCCCTCTGGGGTGGGGGGCTCTCTGGGCGTGCCCCTGGCCCCCAACATGGCAGCAATCCCAGGGCCCAGACGCCAGAGAAGCAAGTGTCTAGATGCGGGACAGGCGCAGCCGCGGACGGGCTGCCCTCTTCCGCCTCCAGGCTGCCTGCCTTGGATACCCGGAAAATGTTGATGCTCTGTGACTCCGAGGGGGAGACTGGATTTGGAGAGCACCGGGGTGTTGCTGTTAGAGGAGCACGGGCGCTCCGGCAGCCCCATCCTGCGCACAGGGACGGGGACGCGAGTCCCCAAGGCGCGGCTCCAGAGGCATCCTCCCACGACGCCCTCTCCCGGGCTGCGACTTTCCTAGAAGAAGCAGCGGTTTCCCGCCGCCGCCTTCAGTCCACCGCTCGGCTTCCTACCCTCGGGGCGAGGGCGAGCGCCTTGGGATGCAGCAAAGGAGCCCCGGACCCTGGCCACGCTCCCATGCTCCCCACTGCGTTCTTGCCGCGCCGGGAGCTCGGGCCTCCTGCTCCCCATCAAGCCGAGCTGCTTCAGTCCCCTGGCTTCGCGCTCCTCTCAGGGAGGCTCAGCACGAGCCAGGGTCCCCGCGGCCAGAGGAGCCAAACCCTGGAGCCCCGCCGGACTCCCGCGCGAGCACGGCTCGGGCCGTGGGGCGGGGCGGGAGCATACCTGTGTCCCCAGACCCAGGCGGAGGTCCCTCCGTGGGTCTAACTCGTATCCCGCGGCCCCCCACCCCGAAGCGGCGCGCCCACCCTGCCTTTCGCTCTGCGGCCCAGGGCAGAGGCGCGAGGGCTGCGGTCTGGCCCGGGGGCATGGTTCTCTCCCGGCGGCGGCAGCAGCCCAGGAGCCCCGCTCCGGCCCGGGGAGGGTCTTCCGCGTGGAGGCCGCGACTCGGGGCGGCCACCTGGGCGACAGCGATCAAGGAGGGCGGAGCGACCGGCGGGGCGCCCCGGGGTCGGCAGGAGGAGGAGAGGTCGTCAAAATAATAAAGCAGATGATAAATGCCACGTCCGGAGCCTTTTCTCCGAAAAACTCAAAGGGCTCCAACTTGTCAGGGCCACAGAACCCAGCCGAGCGGGGAGCCCCGGGGCTGCCGAGCACCCGTCCCCTCGGACTTGAGACCCCCGGCTCCCCTCGCGCTGCTCTCCCCGACGCGAGGGGACGGCAGGGGACCCCGGCGGGCGCCCTCCGGCCCGCTTCCCCGGGCACCCTCGGCGCGCCAAGCCCTCCCGGGCGCTCCTCCCCGGGGACCGCGCCGCCGCGCCGCGGGGCCCGACGCTCACTGTAGGCGCTGTTCTCCAGGCTGCCGTTGACGCGGCCGCTCGGGTGCAGCTGCAGGTGGTACTTGGTGGCGCAGTAGAGCTTGCGGCGCCGGGGCGCCCCGCCGAGGTGCTCGTAGACGCCGCCGCGGCCGCCCGCATCGCGGC